TAATCAATTTTCCTTTTGAATCCATGTAGCAAAATTTTTAGTATTTACTTTTAATAAAATTGCATCAAATATATAGAATAAAATTTTTACAGACAATTTGAATTAGTTATATTGAAATTGGTTTCGTTAGTCAAAATTAAAAGTTTTGAATTCAAATCTTAATTATAACTCAAAAGACAAAATAATACCATCATTGATATTAAGATATTTTAATAGATTAACTCGATTGGATCTAAAATTAACGAATATTTAATCATATTTATAAAATTTAAATATTATTTATCATCACTGATATTACGATAATTTCCCCCAAGTTTATTAACTCAATCAAAACAATTTGGTTTGTGTGAAATTTTGATTTCATACCTTTGATAACAACATTCCTTCGAACCCATCTCTATCGTCATATCAGCTTTTGAGCCGTAGAGCAATTCTAAGTCAATGAAGCCTAATAAAACAACAGGCACAACCTAATTATAATAAATGCTAACAGGCCGAACCTGTAAATTAGTGGCCAAGACAAGTGGCTAAATTTGTGTCATAGCTATAAATTACATCTGATTCAATGATACGTGCATATAATTTTTTTATTTAAAAGAGGTTGCATTTCAATTTCTTTTTCCCAAATTAAAAATTATAAATAAATATATAAAAACCAAAGAGTTAGACAAAAAAAAAAAAGAAAAATTCAGCGTGGATGTTCTATTTTTTTTTGACATGTGACAATCATGAATAAACATCATGTGTTATTTAATAAATACATTTTTAATTTTAAAAAATCAGTATATTTGATTTGATCTGATTAATTTTTAATGTAAAAAAAAAGTAAATTTATTTCATTTAAATTATTACATTTATTTTTTTAAAATATTCATTACTCTTACCTTATATAAATAAATTCAATTCAATTTGTAATTAGAGTTAATTGTTATTTACCTTAAATTACTCTCAATTAAATTTTACTCTTAGTTTTTCATACCAACTTCAATATTATAAATAGGAATTTGTTTTTGTCAATTAGAAATAATAGTATTGGACTTTTGTTCTATAATTTTATTATCTTCTGATTCTATTTTTTTTTCTTTTTTTTATCATTTATTCCATGATTTGTTTCTTTTTACTTTCAATTGTTTTATTTCTCTTTATTTCAAAGTGTGGTTTTCTTTTATTTTTTTAATATTAAAATTCACTTTTTACCAAAAAAAAAAAGAAAAGAAATTAATATGCTTTTAGTTTTTAGAACAATATTAGTATAACATACAAATATGTTGATATGCCTTAATAATTAATCTAAACATTTCATACAATGATGTCGAAATGATTTTCAGTTTATATTTTAATGAAGTAATTTATAATTTTAATGTGCAAATGTATATATGTATGCTATGTGATTAATATTGACTACAAAATTTTACCAGCTTTTTTAATTGGTAATAAGTTGTTACCAGGAACATGTTTGGCCTCAAATATCATAGTGAAAGATCATTGCCATGAAGAAAGTAGGATATGGTATAAAAGGGAATGTCCAAACAGATATGGATAGCTTACACTAAATAGTTTGCATGGGATTAACATTTTATAAATTACAATTATTCCAATACCAAATGAAATTCAATTATCTTATACATATCAATGAAAACAAAATTTTAATTCGTTATCTAAGTTATAAATGTATTGATTTATTAAATATCATTATATTTAATGAGAATTATGCTAATTGATTTGCTTGATCATTTCTTTTGAAAATTCAAAATGAAATTGAAATTCACAGTAATCACTTAATATATAGTTTTTGTCAATTACGATTATAATTTTCTTTTAAAATTGGGAAATGCATTAATTTTGAGAAATGTGTTACAAATTTGAGAAACGTGTTAGAAATATGCCGAAAAACAAAATTGGTGTCTATTAATTTTGAGATTGTAGCGCATCGGCTTTTTAATTAATTGATGTTTATTAAGTTTGAAAAATGCATTAGAAATATGTTAGCATTAATTGAATGGAAAATTGGATCCAGTAATAAGAAATTGTGTTAATAGGCACTAAGGTTTTAAGGGTAAATTTATTTGTTGAAATTGAAGTAAAAATAAAGTTTTTGGACAAGCTAAATAATCTTAAATTATAGATAAAAACTAAATCAATGATACATTATAATTAAATAATTTTTTAATGATTCAAAGAATTAATAAACATTATAATTACAGTCATTAAACCTTTTTTAATGATTCAAATAATTTAATAACCACTATAATTCCACCATCAATTGGAATTACAAAATAAACAATAATAAAATCAGTTTACATATGATCTTTCTAATAAACTGTGGTCCAATCCATTCAGATGTACGGTATTTTTCTTTTATAAATGATTTAAAAAATTAATAAATATTATAATTATGGTCCTAAAATATTTTGTTTAATGATTTATAAATTTTTAAAGAAATATAATTAATAAATTAATAAATACAAGAATTACAATCATAAAAGAGTTGATTCTTTAATAAATTATTTGATACAATTATATTTGACTAAATATGGTATCCATTTAAATAATTGATGTATTTCATATGTGAATATAGAAAACATATATTTCAAATTAATTCTCCATAATTAAGTTAATAAAATAAAATATTTCATTCTCAATCAACCAACTATTATTTGACCATTATTCACTCACAATTTTTATTATTTAAATATTAACATTCATAATTTAAAGTTGCCTTACTAATTAACCAATAACATATCTTTTATATAGATTGCTTTAGTGTTTTAATTTCCTATTTCATATAATCACCTTTGATATTCTCTAAAATCAAATAACACTACCTGCAATTCTTCTTTTACTTTTTTTTTATATTCTTTACTGCGATTTTATTTCAAAAAAATACTCATTATATTATATTTTTTAATGAATTGAATTGGTTTTTCATGAAATATAGAAGTTTAGTGAAGCCGAGAAATTTTCTAGTATATGTGGTTAGAAAATTTTATCATTATTTACTTGATCACATTTCACATTTGCTTTAGAAATCCTGAGGAAAATTTTAACTAAATTTTCATGCCATGTGGAAACAGTTCATATCAAAATAGGAAAAAAAATCAAAACTTTGATTCACTATAGTAAGAAAGTCACAAAGAATTTTCTTCTCCGAAAATATTGCTTATAAATACTCCCACTTAGAAGCATATACCATCCTCATTCCTCAAAGATTGTTTCTATATTCCTAGCAATAGAAAGCCATGAAAAACGTTTCATTTTCTGCCATTTTCCTTCTTGTCCTCTTCATTGCTATTGGTATTTTTTAATGATTACTTGCTCAATTTTTTTTTTTAAATTTTATTACTTGCTCAATTTTTTTTTTTTAAATTCTATCTTATTTGAAAATTTTGAAAAATTTTAATTTTATATTATCCGTTCGAGCATGTATTTAATTTGATTTGATTTTGAATTTTCTATATATATATATGTATATATCTTACTTTTTTATGTTTGATTTGTTGATTATTCTTTCATGAAATATATATTGAAAATCTAATTTTTAAAATTTGAAGTTTATATTCACTGTTTGTGTGTTTAATTATAATTAGTGACTAATTTTGAAATATTTGGCACAGGCAATGAGTCAAAGATGGCAAATGCAATTGTGAATTGTGACGTGGTTGGCCATGGAGGAGGTTGCGAAATAAACGAATGCTTCAATGGTTGCAGGGCGAAATATGGGGAAGCTGCTCATGGATTTTGCTACACTATTAATAGTCCCAATGATACTTGCGTCTGTCGTTACCCTTGTTGATTCCATGCATTTTCTATGCATATTTCTGCTATCCTTATGAAATAAACTCGTGTTTATAATCCACCCTTGGCTTATATCAACTTTATTTCCTACTATCATGTACTTGCTCTCTCTTACTTCTAATGATAAAGATAAGTTATGGTTTGTGTAAATATTTTAAGTCAAAATTGTAGTGTCTTTCTCCTTTTATATATTTATATATATATATATATATATTTATATAAACCTCGAATTCAAATCTCATTAGCCAAGATAAAAATTATCAAATTCAAATCTCAATTATAACTTAAAAAATAAAAAAAAATAAATGTAGCCATCAATCAATAATTTATTTACCTTTATTTACTTTAATAAATCAGTTCGATGAAGTTTTATTAAATTATTTTTTTAATAAACTTTAATCAATTTTAAAATTATATTAAAAGAATATATTTTAGTAAGTGATCGATCGCATCTAACAAAAAAAATAATAATAATGATTTCATTATTTTTTATTTCGTTTTTAAATTTATCGAACGGACACAAAACCGTTACGACAAAATCAATCAAAAAAATTTGGTTTGTGTGAAATTTTGATTTCATACCTTTGATAAGAACATTCATTCGGACATATCTCCATGGTCATATTAGCTTTTAAGCCATGGAGCAATTTTAAGTCAACGAAGCTTAGGAAAACGATTGACGTAACCTAATTAAAATAAATCTAAACAGGACAAACCTGAAAATTAGTGGCCAAGACAAATAGCTAAATTTATATTATAGTTATAAATCCTGATAAATACATATTATTTTTTATTTAAAAGAGGAGGATTTTAATTTCTCTTTTCCCAAATCAAAAAAGAAAATACAAATTAATAGATGAGATAACATAGATTTAAAATTTAAATATGAAATCAAAGAAACACTTTCAAAAGTTTGCCAACAAAAATCTACTCTTATTTTGATTTTCAAATGTAAAAAATACTCTGCAAATGATGCTATTCACTCTCTTTTTTGAAAGATTTTCTTGCACACTTTTTCTCAAGGGGACAGCCTTCTGAAACATATCATTGCTTCCCTTTAAGTTCTCTGTTGGGGACTGACAATTGGGAAGGAGAGAACAACCTTTACATTAGTTGATCTCTCTCCCATCCTAAGAACAAGGGGAAAAAAGTAGACAGAAAACCAAGAGTTTAATTATTAGATTCTGAAATTTTGGAACTTAGATGAATGCAATTGAAGCAATCCATTAACTTTGTTTAGCTGATAGAATCAAAGAGTCTGACATATTTGTATGTTACAAAAAACTGTATCATTTACTGCAAGACACAGGACAGAGCATATGTTCAACAGATGAATCTACAACGGTACAAGCAAGAGCTTGGTCATGGACATGGTCATCGTGAATATCAGGCACACATGGAAAACCAGGAGTCTAGTTAGCAGTTTCTGAAATCTCAGATGAAAGCAATTGAAGCAATCCATTACCTTTGTTTAGCTAATAGAATCAAAGAGTCCTCTTACAAATCAATGTCTTACAAAAACTGTACCAACCAGTGCAAGAGCACATAGGAAAACTACTTACCACTTTCTGAAATCTTGGATGAAAGCAATTGAAGCAATCCATTAACTTTGTTTAGCTGATAGAATCAAAGAATGATATCAACCAGTGCAAAAGACAGGACAATGCACATATTCAACGGATGAATCTACAACAGTAGAAGCAAAAGCTTAGTCATGGTGATCAGGAATATCATGTACACATAGAAAACCAAGAACTTAATTATTAGGTTTTTGGGTCTCGAATGAAAGCTATTGAAGCTGTCTGTTAACTTTGTTTAGCTGATAGAATCAAAGAGTCTAGCAAGTCAATATATTACAAAAACCATATCAACCACTGCAAGACACAGAGAAATGCATATGTCTAACAGATTCATATATGGTCCAAGCAAGAGCTTGGTCATGGTGATCATGATCATCAACTAGTCATAGAAACCCAAGAGTTTAACGATTAGTTTCTGAAATCTTGGATGAAAGCAATTGAAGCAATCCATTTAACTGATTTTAGATTGTAGAATCAAAAAGTCTACCAAATCAATGTTTTACAAAAACCATATTAACTCCAGAAAGCTACAGAAAAAATGTATATGTTCAACAGACGAATCTAACGGTGCAAAGCAAGAGCTTGGCCAAGGCAAGTTTCAGGAACAAAAATTTGAAACCCTAGAATACTTAACGGAGTGATAATTTTGTAATTTCACTAGAAAGCTTGAAACCCTAACCACAACAATCAAAATTCGGGAACTTTAATTGGCTGAAACCATCAACAGAATCATTGAATTAAGTTCTAAGAAATTGTATGATAATACATAACTTTAATTGTTAACAACAGTGAAGCTCATTTACAGTAACGATCAGCTTTCTTCTTAACGCGATCATCGAGGGCTTGTTCGACGGATTTGGCTTGAGGATTTTGGGGATCGTAACCGAACTTCTTAGCCTCCACAGGGAACAGCTCCTCGTACTTCATCTTTTTAGCTGCATCGATGGTGTACACATCTCCTCCAGACTCCGAGCCTTCAACGGCAGAGGCAGCGGCGTCGAGGGAAGGCTGAGATTCGTCGTCGGCGTTCTTTTTCTTCTTGTGCTTCTTCTTGCCTTTGTCGATGGATTTGCGAGTGGCTAAGCTTCCTCCTTTGAAGGTTAGTCTACCTCCTTTCACTCTCTCGTACGCATCCGACATCGTTCTTGTTTGGCACTGCTTTTCTCCTTCTGATTTCTTTCTGGTTGATGATGATTTCTGGATTTTACTAGGAATTCAGGATTCCTTTTGCTGAAATAATTTAGGGCTCAAACACTCGAACCGCCATTGGATTTCTTTCCCATTTTTCTTTTTATATAGTTTTGGACTTCGTAATGTGTCCGGCCCATATTCAGCCAAATCAAATTATAAATGCATTTGCGGCCCATATTTATTTGATTTTGCACGCAACAAAAAAAATATAGATTACCATAATTTATATTAAATATGTTTAAAATATAAAAATTATCATATCATAATTTATATTAACATGTCAAACATGAAATAATTTTTTTGTTTTGTCGCTTTTACATATTTTTCGTTTCTCATTTTCATATTGTTTTATTTTTAAATTGTCAAAATTATTAGTAATAAGATATGGTGCCATTCATGGTTTGAATCTTCCTTTTTCAATTATTAGTAAAAATCCTAAATTGATCATTTAGTCGATATAAAAATTATCTTGTTGAATTTATATCGACACATTAAAACACGAAACACATTTTTTTTTGTCAAATTTATGTATAATATTTACTAAAATTTTAAATCTTATCCTTTTTGTTAAATATATCGCAACCACCTAAGACCTTGTTAGAGTGGTATCCATTGGTATGGCTAAGTTCACCGGTTTGAATTTATGTGCTTTAAATTGTGTATATTTTTTATGACAGAACACTACAAATGCGTAGATGAGTTGTTTAAGAGAGCCTGTTTGAGTTTGCTATTGATAGGATATCATTGCTTGTCTCTTAGAGAAATACATTCAGCTTAAACGGTGGCTATACGGGGGATTCAATTACAATATCAAATCATTATTGAAAACACAACTTTGCGATTAAAGTATTGGATTATCAGCAATGACATTATTGTAGTGCTTTAAATCTACATTGTGTTTTGATCTGAAACATCCTAGTTTAACTTTGCCATTTCAGACCGGAACTGTCGGAGTAGTAGATGACTGTTGGATCTCGTTGCCATGGTCTTCATTTTCACCTGTTAGCTCTTCCAATGATTTTCCCTTGGACTCAGGCACCAAAAGAGTACACACCATCCCAAGGCAGTTGATTGCACCAAGCACAAGCAGTGAATTTTTCACTCCAATACCAGGCTTGTAACCTTTATCAGTCTTTGATGGATCTGTGCTTTGTGATGCGTACAAGAACCCAAATGCACCAACTATGGCCCCAGCTTTGCCTGCTGCCGCTGATATCCCATGGCATGTTGACCTCAGCCTTGCTGGAAAAATTTCAGCTGGCACGACAAATGTGGTGGCGTTGGGTCCAAAATTTGCAAAGAAAAAGGTCAATGAGTACATGATAAGGAATCCAGCGTGGTGAGATCTCCAGTGATGGTAAGGGATGGCAAGAGCAAACATGAATACTGTCATGAAGAAGAAACCCATCAATTGAATTGTGAACCTGCCTATATAATCGATGAAAGCCACTGTAAACCAGTATCCAGGGACAGTGCCACAAAGTGCAATAAGTGTTTGTGCCTTTGCAACCCGATAAACCTCATGAGTTGCACTCATGATTTCAGGTTTTGGAAGCCAACCTATTGCACTAAAGATGTCTTTTTGAAACAGATTGGAACTGTAATAGGCAATGTCTAATAAGAACCAAGTGGTAGTTGTTCCAACCAAGTGCAGTCCATGGCGCCGGGCAAATTCCTTACTGAATAGACCAAAAGAGTTGGATGGTGCTGTTCCTATCTTTTCTACCTTCTCTTCTTCAACTTCTAGCTCCACTTGCAACACCTTGGACATGTCTGCAGCAGCCTGTTTTGCGTTTCTGGCTACGAGGGCGGTGTATCGGGCTGTTTCTGGCATCTTCATTCGCCAGTAGTAAGTGAGGAGAGCAGGAACTGCTCCAAACATCAGAATGATGCGCCAAATATAGTCAGCTTCAGGCACAGTTGAGCCTGCTGCGTCAATTTTATATGGAGGGGCCTTATATGCATGATCAAATGCAGCTGACACAATAAGAGCAACAATTCCACCTGCTAAAATTCCAAATCCTTGCATTGCAAAAACTGCAGAGATAAATGCTCCACGAGTCTTCTTGTTGGCATATTCAGACATGATTGTGGCCGAGAGGGGATAGTCACCACCAATTCCAAAACCAAGCCAAAACCTGAAAAAGCAAAGTGTTGCCATGACACTATTTGGAGACTTTCGAAAGGAAATCCCGGAGGCAATGGAGCACACCACCATGAGGATTAGGGTAAGCCCATAAACTCGTTTCCGACCCAATTTATCACCAAGCCAGCCAAAGAAAAGCTGACCAGCAAAAGTGCCACAAAAGGCCACACCATTAACGGCAGCTGCTACATTAGGAGGCAATATTCCAGGTTTTGGATCTCCTTCAACGTGGTAGTAAATTCGGCCAAGCAATTTTGTGATAAGAGAGATGCTAAACAGATCATAAGCATCCGTAAAGAATCCCATTCCTGCAATTACAATTGCAGTGAAATGATACCATTGTGTCCTTGCTGCATCCAATGCGTTAAGAACTCCAAGCTGGTTTTTAGCCATAGCTAGCTCGGTCTTAACTTGTGACTAATCTTCCTCAAAATGGCTGATTTTTACCTGAACAAGATGATGAAAAAATTAAAAAAACATAAATTCAAATGATCCTACTGCTCTTCACTATATTATTCCTGCCCGATGAATCATCATAACAAATATAATTTAGCTTGATAGAGATGACAACGGTTTGGATCGAAGTATTTTAACCAATTCCAAACCGACTTTTTTAAAATGAAATTGATTCGATCCTAATTTTACCAATTCAGTTTTTATACTTCCTCACTCAGGAAATGGATAAGACTCCAAATCAAGAAGAAATAATCGTTCTAAAGAAACAAATTAATACTTTCAGCTGTTCATCAAAATTATGGAAAACATCAAGTTCACATGCAGCATTCCTTTTAATACATCTTACTTCCTTAAAGATTCAGAACTGCCTGACCTTTTGAACACAAATACCTGCTCCTTGGCCCAGGCAAAAGGAAAAACAGGCCTGAGGTTTTTTGGTGATTTAGGTGTGAGAAAAGTGTTATCAGCAGTCAAGGTATTTAAACTACATCTGATCTCTCAAGTTCCCCAAGAATCAGCTAAGGTATCAAATAATGGCATATACCATTTGAATATTTCCTTCATTATTACCTTGAAAGTGAATGGAATTTGACAAGAATTCTCATTGCTGCTGCTTCTGTCCATCAATAAAATATGTTTATTCTTACATTACATTACATTCACATTTTCTGCCCAACACACGGCAACAGTATGGATAATCTTCAAACTGATTTGTCTGTTCTTTTGGTTTTTTCAATGATTATTTCTTTATCATTAATGTCAATGTACCAGCATATAATTAAATCTATTAAGAAGAAGAAGTTTTGGATTTTATGTATGTATGTCAAAGCTATTTGAACCAGAAACAAATTTTAAAAAGTGGCAAAGACAATAGCATTAAACAATTGATGGGTTCAAACTTTAGGGGCATTCATATTGGAAATTGATCAAGCAATTCTCAAGAAATGCAACTTGGAATATTTTGTGCATCTATCAAGAACCACATTTTTCCATTGGAGACAAGAGAGAAGTTCCAAATCAATCATAATCAAAACTTGATGATGCTGATGATCAGCTAGATAAATCTTGTTAAATTTTGTGGAAGTCAACAAGCAAGTTCTTTCACCCTTTTAAAACTAATAAAACATAACCACGTAAAGTTTTTTCCAAGTACTTCTAATTCTAAATTAAAAAAAAGAAAAAACAATGTTAGCATAATTTAGATGTATGGCATTATTTCAGCTGCCCTATTGAACCAAAAGGCATGGTTTCCTAATTTTGCAAAAGTACGGAACTCAATTTTTTTTGTTGGAACTGTCAACAATGGAATTTTAATATTTTAAGTATCGAGTATTTTATTGACAGATTACATTGCTATTGCCGGAACCCATTATTTTGAAGTAAGTTAACAATTTTTTTTTTAAAAAAAATGTGTTTTTGTTGATTTGAAAAACTATAATTTTCGTTTTTTTTTTTTTTTTTTTTTTTTTTTTTGTAGCTTAGTACTAAGAAAGTGATTTAAACGCGTATGAAAGAGTTGAATATGCAACCTATTCACTCATCAAAACACCTATTTAACTAATTTGATGATTACTTTGTAAAATGGTTAGCCCTACATAATATTTGTAGTCTCACATTTTGCTTGAAATGTAGAGATTATGATTAAAAACTTGTTAAGAAACAGCCAATGAATAAACTAATCAGCCTGTTAAGAAAGAAAATCTGGCTGGCTCATTGACCTAACTTATAATAATGAATTTGATAATTTATTAATTTTAAGTACAATTCATTTTTTTTTCTTATTTTTCAGTACAAATACTTGATTATTATTTATTAATAGTTAAAAAAGTTAGATCTGATTATGCTAAATATGATATGGTAATACAATTAAAAAAAAGACATAAATGCAATATAATTAAAATTTTACCAAAAATCATATGAGTTTGATAAAAAAAACTAAAAAAATAAATTTTGTGTTTGATATAGTAACACGAATTTTGACATGATAATTTTCATCTTTTATATATGGTCGACGTAAATACACTAATTTAGTAGATCTAATAAAAATATCAATTAACATTGTAGGTTTCACACCTTTTGGAGTATGTTTAATATATAATTATATAGTTTAATGCAAATTATCTTGACAATTCTATATATACAAGAATATCTATATCTAAAACAGATTCCTAGAACATATCTACACAATACATATTGAACTACCAAGAAAGTCATAATTGGGGAAAAAAATACTATGGTTTTCATTATCATTTTCAACGTAAGTATAAAATATGTTGCTGTCATTATTATTATTATTTTAAATGAAGGCTTTAAAAGATAAAAAATTGACAAGTATGATATTTAAATGATTTAATAATTATATGGAAGCTCGAGTGATCAAACAGATTACAAATTGTTGATTTCATATAAAATTGTTTTAGTATAAAGGAAGACGATTAATTGATCATTTAACATTTATTATTGAAGTAATTAAGGGTGATAATGTGATATTAGCAATAAATAATTGATTTAATAAATATGTCTGGCTTTTTTCTTTTTTATCTATGTATTTTCCTTAAAAAACAAAATCACAAAGGTAAGCTTTCGGATCCCAACGAATAATATATTACATAACAAGTGTCATTCAGTGTTGATTCATTGCATCAACAATAACGCGTATTCTATTCCTTTTCAAGGAAGATAGGGCATGCAGCTGTCATTGGAGTTGGGTTTGGCTGCCAGCTATTGAAACTCTATCTTCACTTCCATGAAGTTTCATGAGAGCAATCCAAGACCAAAAAAAAAAAAAAAAACAAAACAAAAAAGCAACATCATGCACTAAATCAAATATTGAGATTAGAGTAGGAAATAGGAGAAAATGCCATACTTATACTTTTTGAATCATGTGACTTTTAATTTGTGTAATTAATGTTACAGAGAATGAAAGAAAGAGAGGGTGTTCACGTGCCACCCCTCCCTTTCTCCAAAATTTTATTTTTTCTTTATTTTTTGTTTTTATTTTACTTTTTATTTAATTTTTTATGAAATAAATTTTGTAAAAAAAGTAAATAGAAATAAAAATAATAAAATAATAATATTTGATTGATTTTTATTCACATTAATCTAATATAGTTGCATTCTTTTAAATTAAGATTGGATCAAGTTTTTTTTTTCTTTTTGAAAATATAGTTGGGTTGAAAATGGATTTAAAGTGTTTTACTCCATCTCGTTGTTCACAAAATATCTCTATCGTTTTGTTTTTTTAACTTTTGATTTTTGGAATTTCATTTTTAAAATTTTTTTTTTAGTTTTAGTTTTTTATCAAATAAATTTTATAATAAAAAAATCAATTAAAATAGAAGTGATAAAATAATTTGTATATGATAGATTTCAATTGGTTCTAATTCAATTGGTGCACATTCTTTTAATTTGATAAAATTGGATCGGGTTCTTTTTTAAATTGAGCTCCAGAATCAATAAAATTTTTAATATTACGTTTCGGCTTGAGTGTGCATAAAAAATATATGTTTTGTTATTTATTCATTCTATATTTATATATGTATTTTTAATAAAAATATATTATTTAATATTTTAAATTAATAAAATTTTTTGTCACCTCATTTGGTTTTTTTTGTCATTTTTATTTTTTAAAATTTTTTTATGAGATAAATTTTATAAAGAAAAGAGTCAATAAAAGTAAAAATGACAAAACAACCTATATCTAATAGGTTTCAATTTATCATAATCCAATCAATATGTTTTTTTTTTTTTAAATAAAGATCAAGTTAAGTTTTATCTTTTTAAACAATTTAGATTAAGTGAAGATCAAGTTTGATATGTTTTATCTCTACCCTCATTTGGATATATAAAAGAATATATTTTATTATTTATTAAATTTATATTTATAAATATTATATTAATAAAAATATTATTTAATATCATAATTTAATAAAAAAAATATTTATATAATTAAGTTGTAATTTATATTAAAAAATAATGCATTTAAATTTATTTATATATTACCATTTATTAAAATTTGATATAAAAATTTTACTTCACTTATATTTAAAACATAATTTAAAAAATAAAAAATAATCTCATGACAAAACAGGATTTAATTATAATAAAAGTAACAATTTAAAAAAAAAAAAAAGCTTCCTCGCTTCTTGAAAAATTCAATGATTTCAACTTATTATCGTAATTGAAGGTTAAAGTGATTCGTTTTCAAGAGTATTTTTTTGGCCATATATTTTCATTACCCAAACTTCGTATGTTGGCGCAATATGTACCATGCAAAGGTATCCTCTTTCTCTCTCTTTATATCATAATAAATTTTTATTTTAAGTGTTTATTTATAATATATATAAAAAAAATTATACATATAATTTTAAAGTAATATATTGTTATATTATTATAATTATTTAAAGTTTTTATATTTAAAAAAAATTATAATTACATTATTATTAATATTATCAAATATATAATTATATAATAATTAAACAATCATTCAATTAAAAATCATTGTTAATACTATTAAATTTATTTTGATGAATTTATCAATTTTACTGACAAAAATAATTTTTAGAGAAAAATTTTAAAGATGTATATAGAAAAGGTTTCTTTTAATTTTTTTTTTTTATATTCTAATGTTTGAAGTGTCTATGAACATTGTACTCCAACCTTCGCATCCGATACTGTATACAAAAAACAATTGATACCCATGTATAGGATGATGATCAGCTATTGCTGTAGGGATATCCAAGAATTCTTCCTTTGTTTGATCAAAAGCAGTGATGCACTCATGTTTTTATTTTGAACCATTTACAATTCCTTTTTAATAATATGATTTTAATACATCTTAAAGGACAATATGAATAATAATATGATTTTAATACATCTTAAAGGACAATATGAATAAAACTAAGTTCTTAAATCGCATAAAATAATAAATAAAATGAATAATTTTCATTGATCCCATTTCTTATTTTGTATGGCTTACACAAAAAATGTCGCTCCTTAATAGGATTAATATCATAAATAA